ATTGCACTCATTTCACAAGCTAGCAAGGTTATGCTCAAAACTTTCCAAGGCAAGCTTCAGCAGTATGTGGACCGAGAACTTCCAGAAGTACAAGCTAATTTCGAAGGGGCAGAGGAACTAGAGACCAAATTGCTAACATATGCTGGATTATGGAGAAAGCCAGAGAGTTCCTGAAAAACATCTACTTCTGCTTCATGGACTATGCAAAAGCCTTTAACTGTGTGGACCACAGCAAATTATGGCAAATTCTTAAAGAAATGGGAGTGCCCAATCACCTTATTCATCTCCTGAGAAACCTATATGTGCGACAGGAAGCAACAGTTAGAACTGGATATGGAACAACTGATTGGTTCAAAATTGGGAAAGGAGTATGACAAGGCTGTATATTGTCTCCCTGCTTATTTAACTTATACTGTATGCAGAATACATCATGTGAAAGACTGGACTGGAGGAATCCCAAACTGGAATTAAGATTGCCTGAAGAAGTATCAACAACCTCAGATATGCAGGTGATACCACTCTGATGGCAGAAAGTGAGGAGGAATTAAAGAACCTTGTAATGAGGGTGAAAGAGGAGAGCACAAAAAATGGTCTGAAGCTCAACATCAAAAAATCTAAGATCATGGCCACTAAGTCCTATCACCTCCTGGCAAATTGAAGGGGAAGATATGGAGGCAGTGACAGATTTCACTTTCTTGGGCTCCATGATCACTGCAGATGGAGACAGCAGCCACAAAATTAAAAGACGCCTGCTTCTTGGGAGGAAAGCGATGACAAATCTTGACAGCATGTTAAAAAGCAGAGACATCACCTTGCCGACAAAACTATGTCAAAACTATGGTTTTTCCTGTGGTGATGTATGGAAGTGAGAGCTGGACCATAAAGATGGCTGACCACTGAAGAATTGATACTTTTGAATTGTGGTGCTGGAGGAGACTCTTGAGAGTTCCCTGGACTGCAAGGAGAACAAACCTATCAATTCTGAAGGAAATGAACCTTGAGTGTTCACTGGAAGGACAGATCCTGAAGCTGAGGCTTCAATACTTTGGCCATTTCATGAGAAGACTCCCTGGAAAAGACCCTGATGTTGGGAAAGTGTGAAGGCAAGAAGAGAAGGGGACGACAGAGGACAAGATGGATGGACAGTGTCATCAAAGCTACCAACATGAATTTAACCCAACTCCGGGAGGCAGTGAAGGACAGGAGGGCCTGGCGTGCTCTGGTCCATGGGGCCACGAAGAGTCGGACACGACTAAACGACTAAACGAAACGACCAACTCTCCATAAGATTATGGGGACCCTGGAGTGAAATGTGAGGCACTTGATCAGCTGATCAGACCCTTTTTGGGGTGGGGTGCGGGGAGTGTCTACACCACAGCATCCCTCCTTCACATCCTAAAACTGCACATACAGACAATAAAAAAACTTAAGCTTGCTTAGGATATCTGTACACTTCTTGAAAGCATGCATGGGTAGGGTGGGTGTGCACATCTTCTTGGTGCCTTTTTGATTTCCCTGTAAAGGTATCACTTGGAAATGGAGTTCCTAAACGGAATTAAATCACTCCTCTGTGTCGTCCACCACAAGGCTAGACGCCAGCAGTTAGGAAGCGCGGCCACGCCGCCAGCCTCGCCTTTTGTCTCCGCAGGGAGGGAGGTCCTGCTGCTGCCGGCTTTACCGGGCCACGCACACCCGGTAAGGGTGGGGAAAAACATCGCGGGTCCTCCTGCCGCAAGGGGCGCCGCGGATAAGGCTACGGGGAGCGGGGAGACGAGGAGGAGGAGGAGCAGGAGACTGAGATGGAGAAGGGGGATGAGGAGAGCTGGAGAAAGGCCGTGAAAGGAGCCAGGGCCGGATCCGTGCTGAGCTGCTCCGGCAGCTGCTGCTCCTCGCTGACCATGGGTAAGACGAGGGGAGAGGGCGGCGGCGGCGGCGGCCACTCTCTCGCCTGAGGAGGGTCCCGGCCTCCAAAGGGAAAGGGGGCCGGCGGAGGGTTTCTTCTCCAGCGGAGAAACCTGAGGCTCCGCGCGGGGGGGAACAAAACCACCCTTTCCTCAGGAGCGAAGAGGGAACGGTTTAGTAGTCCGTTTGGAGCCAAGTCCTCCACCGGCGGTTTTCCTGCCCAGGCAGTCGGGTCCATCGCCGTCCTTTTCTGCAGAAACGGAAAAGGGGCGAAGGCCGTGGCTTGGGCTGCCCGCGGAGCTCCGGGCTGCCGGCTGGCGCTTCTCTCGCGTGGGCTTTCCCGCTTCGGGGGGTTCGAGACACACGCGGGGCCGGGGACCGAGGCCGTCTGACGGGCCGGAGGGGCCGCGCGAAAAGAGGGCCGGCGGCCACGTTGGCTTCGAATGGGCCGCCGAGCCCTCGGGAGGCGCCCGCTTGTCGCCTCACCCTGAAGCGGTCCCTCGAGAATAACGGTCACAATATAAGGCTCTGCAAGGCGGTGATTGCTCACCACCCTTCAAGGGCCGTAGACTCCTGAAGGGCATAAGAAATGTTGCTTCATGGCCCCGTGTGAGAAGCGTCCGTTTTATTAGGGGAAATTAAAGTGGGAGGGGGGAGGGAAAGAACCTTGCTTGCCTACGAACAGAGGCCATGGAGCGCTTTCTTGCCTGAAGGAATCCGGAGTTAGCCTAGAGAGCCTGCTTCGGGGGGGAAGCCCCTTTCTCACGTTCACCGGATGCGCGTGTGGGACACGGGCAGAAAGCCTGGCGCGCGGGGTTGGGGGTCTGGGAGTACCTTCTGCTGGTCGCTCACGTGTGAAAAGGGTTCGCTGGATTCCACCCTCATGGCCTTTGAGGTAGCCAGTGAGCAGAAGAGGGGGCGGGTGGAGGGAAAGGAACAGGAGGAGCGTTGAGCCCAGCCTCTGGTAGGAGGGCAAGCCCGCCCGAGGCAGATTTACTTCAGAATCAGCTGCTGGTTTCTGCAGAGGCTTCTTACCAGTAAAAACTAACACTATACAGTCGCAATGACCAGATAGGCGGGGTATAAATGGAATAAATAAAGAAATAAAATAGCTTTAACGCTAGTGAGTCTGAGGAAATGGGTTGTAATCTAGGAAAACTCACATTGAATTACTCTATACCCCTTGAAGGTGCCACAGTCTTTTGGCTTTTAAAAAAGGTTACAGTGCATATACGTAGTACTGTACAGTAGTTTGGGAAAGAACCAATTTTTATAAAAATCTTCCTTACTTAGCTCATTTCAGTGATTCCTAGCTTGCAAGCTTAGTTAACTAATGCTGTACCAGTGTTTAAGACTGGGAACCCCAACTATCTGCTTCGCCAGGCATGGCATTGTCAGTTATCTTTAAAAGCATATATCTAACCTTAGAAGATGAAAGCAAGAAGGAAAGAACTGGACAAGGGGAATTTGCTAAGAATGTTCTGGTTTGTTGATTGTTTCAGTCACTTGATGATCTGCTCTAAATCAAAACAAAACTGTCCCAATCTTATTTTGCCATGATGATTTTTTTAAAAGTTGCAGTCATGACTAATGATCTTTAGAATATTGAGCAACACTGGCATGTTTGCAATCTGGTAGTGTTTTATCCTCCTGCTACCTCCATTCTGAAGAACAGCAGTCTGGAGTAATCTAATACCGTGACACCTTGATTTACTTCTTTGCTCCCTACATCTAAGCCTGAAAAGGAATTGTGTGACCTGAAATCTAAATTTTTAAGCTCAAGAAACACCCAGTTTCTCCTTCTATGGGTCAACACATGTTTTGCGGCTGTGTTGAATAATATTTATGTGGGGAATTTACCAGAACATTTCAGTTTGAGGATTGTAAGATTCGCACTGAAGTTTTGCTGAATGTCAGCTCTCCCCATTCTTGTGCTTAGTAGATTTTCAGATTTCCACTCATATTAGCTTCATCATCATGCAGTAATCCAGAGGGCATACTGTATGTTGAGAAAGTCTGTTATATGCAGTTTATCCTAGTGGTTCATGTTATTGTTATATGCCATCAAGTTGCATCTAATTTAATGGCATTAATAGGGCAACTGTCATAGATTTTGCAGGGTGTGTGAGATATTTAAGGAGTGATTTTACCACATGCACACACTGTGAGGGTTCGTTTGGAAGGGCTGTTTTCTCCCCAATAAACGGACGAGGCATTGGAGGTAAATCAAAAGGTTCTGTATTTATTTCCACATTAACATCAACCGGATTTCCCCCTACGAAGGGGTTCAGGGATTCTTGCAAAACATGACTTGGCTTTAACGGTGTCCACAAACTATTTACAAAGGGGTTCGTCGTCTCTGGATTCCAGGGGCCTGTTGTAGGTGGCACAGACCCCAGTCCAGGGTCCAAAGCTTCTTCTAGGGAAATTAAGGGTAGTGTCTCTTCGTCACCGCTCCAGCCATCCCAGGAGGATCCCTCTCCTCCATCTGTACCCCAAGGGCCGGGTAACCCCCCAGCTTCCTCAGTTCGGCGATATGCCATTGTTTCTTTCTTTCAAGTTCTCTGGTGACGGCTTCCCTTTCTTCGCGAAGTTTTCTCCTCCACTCCTTAGCTTCCGTTTCCCCCCAATAAGAGGGTCGGGGTTTCAATCCTAGCTGTCGGCGTTCCTCCGCTTCCTCATGAGGAACCCGGACCTGTTCCCACTTATGGGTCCAGGGGTCCTCCATCCACACCCATTCCCAACCGCCTGGAATATCTCTCCGTTTTCCCCTTATATCCCCTACCCCATCTTCAATCTCCTCCCCTCGGTTTCCCGCCCGAACTCGCCCCGGTTCCCGGGTGATTCTTAACTCTTTCATGACCCCCTCCAAGTCATGGGTGTCTACCCCCTTATTTAGGGTAAGGGATCCGACGCTTTCCTTTCCCCAATCAGGGGTCTCCACACCTTTCTCTTCCCGTCGCGGTGGGGATGGCGGGGGGGATGTCTGTGTGTGATGGGTGCTCTTCGGGAGCGACGGCACTCCTATCATGGCCTCCATCTTGGGAGCCTCACACACACCCATGAGTTTTCATGACCAACAAGGATTTGATTTCCAGTCTAAGTCCATCACTTCATCCACTATAGCATACTGTATTGGCAGGTCAGTGGTTTATTGGGCAACTTTATCTTCTGCAAATATATATATGAAAAGTTAACAAATAAACTTTAGTGCTAACACACATCCAAACTGCAGGAGGAAGAGTGTTAAGATCAATATTTCTATAGTCATATTAGTAACTGCATTAAAGACATCTGAATAAGATACCTTAGGGTTGAAAACTTGCACTCAGTTTTCATGCATATAATATTGTTGCCCTTTTACTTTCAAACTTTGTTCTCTTAAAATTACATATATAAATATAGTCCAATCCTATATAGGTTCAGTTGGATGCATTTGTCTTTTTGTTCACTGGAACATTTCACATTTCAAATTGTAAACTGTATCCTTAATATATTTAAAAGGAAAAATACACAAGAAATACCTGAAATACCATTAGCAACCTTCTGTTCAGGTTCTGTTATAATTTGACATAGTTCTGACACCCCCTGAATAGTCATATTACTATAAGTGGTTGCACTGTTGACCCCAAACAGGATGCAGAGTTGTTCCCATGATATAGTTTATTCTAATATTTGTCTTAGTAGGTAGTTAGTTTCTGAAATTTAAGGTACCTGTTTAAGGGTGTGTGAAGGAAGAATAGGAAAGAGAGAAAAAGAACAGAGTGAGCTGTCCCCTCAGATATTAACGTTGGAGAAAGAGAGAGAAAAAAGGGACAGAGAAGTAATAGAAAGTGAAGAGTTGATTGTAGAAGAGAGAGAAGGAAAGGAATCAAAGGAGAAAGAGATAGGAACGTCAGAGAAAGAGAGAGAGAAACGGGACAGAGAAGTAATAGAAAGGGAAGAGTTGATTGTAGAAGAGAGAGAAGTAAAGCAATCAAAGGAGAAAGAGACAAAGGTAGAAATCTGTTTGGTAGAGGAAGGGAAGGAGAAAGAGGAGGAGGAGGAGTTAATTCTACTGGTATGGGAGGAGGATATAAAAGATCAGGAGGAGAGTTTTCAGCATACCGAGAAGGAAAACAATGAAGGATGAAGGAAGGGAGAGAGAAACGAAGGAGGATGAGTTCAGATACAGGAAAGCGCGCGGGCTATTAGAGGACTTTCCTAACTTAAAAGTAGGAGGATTATTACCAGACCCAGATCTGAAGGAAGAGAAAGTAACAGTAACGGAGACTCAAGAATGGACAGTGGTGGTCTTTCCTCGCAGACAAGATCATTGGAGGAAGGTAATCAGACCGGATCCGACCTTCAGTAAGAGAGAGACAGGGCCAATTACCCCTGTTGCAGCACAATATGCATGGTGTGGAGTACTCCACTGAGGAAGCCCACGGACAGGGAACGGTTTGGACCAGCCCCTCAATAAACTTCCCTAATTTACAATCTGGATTTTCATTTTCACCTTATGGACAATTATCTGATCTTAGCTGTTTTGATCTTGTAAAAGTTATTGTTGAATCACCAAGTGTTAAAGCAAATAAACCTGTTAATCTTTCAAAAGAATCTCAGTGGTTATTTCCCGCCAAACAGGAGGAACTTCTCCAGCCTTCTAACAAACCCAATCACAGGGTGACATGTGTATCTCAAAAGCTTGTTACCAGGTGCTGAAATGATCTATATGAGCAATTGAAGTTTTTAAAATATTTGATGGTATAGAACAAAAAGTGAACGGAAGGATGGTTGAATTTTGTAGATGTAAGAAAGTGATAACAAAGTAATCAAGGGAGTCAAGACCTAAGCATAGTGTGACATTGTAAAGGATGATTTTGAAACATTAGATAATTGAGCAATGGAATAACTCAGAACATTTAGTCTGGACAAATGCAAAGTGAAACATATTTGAGAAAATGTAGAACTAGCAGAGCCCCTGTGGTTAGTTCACAGGAATTATCTGCTATGATAAAAAGCCAAGTAGAAAGCAAGATCATGTTCATAAATAGTTTGAAAATGTTGTAATGCTATGATTTCATCACTCTCTTGCACAGTATAACCTTCAGAATAGTGAATAATATTGAGAAGATGGCCACCCCACCTATCATGTAAATAATTGAGATCCATATTGGAGAATGGCAAGCTATGTTTGATGTTCTGAAATTAATATACTGTCAGCACTGATTTGGCACAGGTGATTTGCCATCCTGTTCATGCAGAGATGAAACCTCATATAGACACACCTTATGTTTCATATCATGGTGTGTTAATTATAGTTTACTCTGGTTTTTCCCCCTTTCCATTTTGTTACACTGAGATTTTGAAAAGATTTCTAAATCTTGTCTTTGATCAATAAATTGTTAACTGAATTTTCTGTTCTTATTTAATCATCTATCTTTTTTGTTTTTTTGTTTTAAGCTGTAAAAGACCCCACAGCTGTAGAAAGAGCAAATTTATTGAATATGGCTAAACTGAGCATCAAGGGACTTATTGAATCTGCTTTGAGCTTTGGCCGAACTCTTGACTCTGATTACCCACCTCTTCAGCAGTTTTTTGTTGTCATGGAACACTGCCTGAAACATGGCCTTAAAGGTATAAGTAACATGTTTTAAATTTATTTATTTCTAAAGTAACATAGTCTTCTAATGTATGAGAACTCTGTCTTAGATTTGCCAGTGTGTTTTGCACTGAGATGCAAGTTTAGGCATTGTGTAGAGACACATAGAAATCTCCATACCAACCAGCCAACGTCCACCTTAACTGGTCCAGCAGACACAGTGTAGCTTCCTTGACTCCTGTCAATCTGAAGGGGAAATGGTGTATTTTCCAGCACGAGTTGATTGATATTGAGATGGATAGGTGGAAAAAATTTCTTTGCAGGAATATAAGAAAACCTTAAAACTTTCTTGGAGTCCTGTTGATAGAATTGATTCATATGGCCCTAATGGGATAAGTGTGATCTTAAGTTGTTGATTAATTCCCCCTCCCTTATTGTGCTATCATTTATCAGATGATAATGCCTCACTGCATTTTTTTTGTGACTGACAGTAGTGATTTTAGAGTTGTTGGTATAGCTGATCAAATCTGATGCTATAGAAATATAAAAACGTTTATTTTTATAAATGTTGTTTGTGTTATTATTGGCTTTCTCTGAAATATCTTTAAATTAATGTAATCTGTTTCTTTATCTCTATAGCAATTTAATTTATCTAACGGAATAAACCATGTGTAATGTCAAAATACAATATGTTCCTTCTTACAGTGAAAAAATCTTTTCTGAGTTACAATAAAACCATTTGGGGTCCTTTGGAACTTGTGGAGAAGTTGTATCCTGAAGCTGAGGAAATCGCAGCTAGTGTTAGAGATTTGCCTGGTTTGAAGTAAGTTGAATTTCTGGTAATATTTTTAAAAAATACAAATCATATGTAATTTATGTAAATGGCTCCTCCACTCTCTTTACATAGACTTTGGGACCTCAAGATGTATCTATTGTGAACCAACACTTGAAACTGTTAGTGTAAAAGCAAACACATTAATATTCAAGAATGTGTTTGTTAATACTAACAAACTAATACTAAATTTATTTAGGTAAATATCATAAGATGAGTCCAGTGTTTTAAATATCAGTAATGTGTTACATTTCTGTCTCAAAAAACCCCAGAATAAATTATGGGTAACTTTAATTTCAGTAAATTAATCTAAAGCTCATAAGAAGTTCATTACTCTTTCTAACCTCCAAAGACACCTACTGAGTGAAGTTATATCACTGTCTTTCCTGTGGACTCCTGAGAGCTGTAAGAAAAAAGAACATGATATTTTTAGGAATTACATCAAGTAATCAGCTAGCTAAGTATTGCCTCTGTCGGATATGGGGAATCTTACTGGCCATGCACCCATATTGTCCCTAGGACAGCGCTACAAAATTGTCAGGTGACAAGGATATAATCCCTTTCCGGACTCTCGTTTTTGTTTTTTCTATCTAGAGACTGCTTCTTGCATGGACAAAAGGGTGTGGCTAGTGCTTGGAAGAGCCCTTTCACTAGGCCAGGGGTCTAAAAACTTTTGAGCTTGAGGGCCACATTGCATATTTTTCACATTTCTGAGGGCCAAAGGATTGTGTGCATATGCGCAGCCACATGCACACACCTCCGCCCACAGAGACAGATGTTCACCTGCATGCTCCCCCGCACACATGTATAGATGCATGCACACACCCACCCCTGGATGCCCGCCACCACGCATGCACAGGCTGAAAGGAAGAGGCCAGATAAAATGGCAAGGCGGCCCAGATGTGGCCTGTGGGCCATAGTTTGGAGACCCCTGCTCTAGGCACTAGCCAAGTCTTTCCTGTTTTTCTTTTTCTTTTTTTACTGTTGTCTCCTCAACATTAATTCACTGGCAGCGGCTCCCCAGGATTTCAGACAAAACATTTCTCGATCTAGAACATTTTGCTTACAAAGCATGTGCTATAACATTGATCAGTGGACCTTTGAACAAATAACATGAGTGAAGATGAATTCTGTAGTCAGGCGAGGGAATCCACAGTAAAGAGAGGTCTTAGAGAAAACAAGGGGAAATGAAACAGACACACATTCATGAAAATCTACTTTAAATATCTTGATGTAGTCATTTGTTGACCAACTTAGTCAATGATTTAGGAACAATGATTGTGTCTGGAGTCCAGCTGCCTCTTGCCTATCAGGTTTGAGGCCATCAATGAACTTATGTAAGACTATAATTTGCCTTAAGAGAAGGCACAACATATTTTTAGAGTTGTATTTGGAGAAATGCTCTTGCATTTATCCTGAGATTGTGCTGAATCAGAAAGTACTTTGATTGGTCACAAATCTCCCAGGGATATAAGCAGGCTAGGACTGCTATAAGTCTGAATGGATAGAAATGCTTTTTTTTAAAATGTAGTGTCGGAATGAAAAGAGTCCTGTGATTTAATATCCACATTTCTCTCTCTCTCTCTCTCTCTCTCTGTGTGTGTGTGTGTAAGTAAAGGTTCAACCTCATGTGCAGTTTTAAAGGTGATGAAGAAAATGCAAAATAAAACAAAAGTTTGTCCTTCAAATATTAGGAAATGGGATGAAAGCTAGTATTTACATCTAGGCCATAATTCTATATTTTATGTTTAAAAACAAGCTTGACCACCCCTGTTCCCAGTTTCAGTTCTATATGTCAGCATTTTATGTTAAAACAAGTTTAATGTCCATGCTCCCATTTTTAAGGATGGCAAGGAAAGAGTATGGAACACTCAAATGCAGTTCTTTATGAGTTAATTATTTTGAGTATGGAAGTGCAATGTTTCATAGTTGTAAAAGGTTACATTAATTGTTACTGGATGATTGTGTTCCTACTTCATCTCTAGCTTCTTCTGTATTCATGTTATATTTCCATTGCTGTTCTTAGTAGTGATACACAGAAACAATTTCTTCTTAAAGTCTTTCTCCTGGAGGATGATTTTGTTATTATTTTTCATGGTGACAAGAAATAGTTTCTTACAGTGTTACCTTTTGGTCCTTGGTTAGGAGTAGAACACACTGAGTTGAACATTGTCCTAAGCTTGAATGGAGTGAATAACACGCTTTCTTAAGCTCTGTGCTTCTAAATATTTGTTCAAGATAAATGTTACAACATTTATTTTTTGTCTTAAGAGCCTTTTCAAACATTAGTTAAAATTAACTAGAGTTTTATTGTTTCAAATGGACTGATTAGGGTTTCAGATAGAGATTTTAGTCAGTTTCATATTGAATGGCATTATTGAAAGGGAAATTCAGAGTGCTTCAAGAATCTTTGTGTATCAAAAAGTTGTTGGATGCCATTAAAAAGTAAGTCTGGCTAATGAGTAATTGTTTTCTGTACCATCCTCTTGTTATCAGGACTTCATTAGGCCGTGCTAGGGCTTGGTTACGATTAGCACTCATGCAAAAAAAGATGGCTGACTATCTGCGATGTCTCATCTTCCGTAAGGATCTTCTTGGGTGAGTTGTTTTCCAAATTTTTATGAACAAAATGTAAGATTAGAGCTGGAAATAGCCTGTATCCAATCATGTCATTGCACAAGTGCAAGACATATTGTGCTAGCAGTTACTCATTTTCAGAATAAGTGGAAGGATGGAAGCATGTGGTTTGAAAAAAGGCTTAGCTTTGACTACTTTGGACATTTTAAAATAAATTAAGAGCTTGTTCTTTTTATTCCATCAGAAACATGTTGACTTCTTGTAAGCTGCCACATTCTGTAGCTCACTTTTAGATGTCCTGAGGTGCTATTTTTTAAGAGACTAGAACATTAAGGCAGTTATACAATTGACTGACCTTTTAAAATAATTTACAACTATTATAACATGGCATACTTGAAAATCCATTTTTACAGTGAATTTTATGAATATCATGCACTGATGATGGAAGAAGAAGGAGCAGTTATTGTTGGATTGCTTGTTGGTTTAAATGTAATTGATGCGAACCTATGTGTAAAAGGAGAAGACTTGGATTCACAGGTAAATTGATGTAAAATCATTATCTGACTTGTAGGCTTAATATGTAAGTTTTGTTTAGTAATCGAATGGGAGAGGACCAAGCTAGCAAGCTGTAGTGTGGAGCATTAAAACCACTTAAAAGACAAGAGCATCCTTGTTTGGAGAAGTCTGGTTCTTTCTTTAAAGAAAACTTATTTCCTGTGAAGTGCTGATTCACCGATTTTATTTCTACAGAAGAATATTGTTGGAGCTCATATGACTAACTTTCTTGGTCAGAAAATGTTTGGCTTAGATACAGAATTCACTTCCAATACTGTCACAGTCTTTTGCCCCTTTGCGTAATTATCATGCAAGTGGTTCAACAAGTAATTTTGGATTTTGTTCTCAAAACGTACTAATCCCAGATGGATGCTTGGGAGAATGTCTCTATGATCCCACTTACTGTGTAGATTACTGTAGATACTGTGGCTAGATGTGGGAATGCATTCTGATTAGTTTGCTTACCTTAAAGAGTTGGTTGATATTAAGCTTTCAAAATGTAGAAGAGAAAGTGACATACAAATTTATTTGCTCTCAGTGTATGATTTCATGGGAAATAGTTTTTTTACTTTTTGCAAAATGAATAAATCTGTTTCTTCTTAGGTTGGTGTGATTGATTTCTCTATGTATTTAAAGAATGAAGATGATATTGAAAGCAAAGAAAGGTATGTCACTTTTTAAAAAGAATGTCGGAGTTTAGCATGTTGAATTAAAATGGTGGAAAATCCAACCCTGCTGAGATAGATCTCAGTGTTGTCTTCCTCCAGTGGAATATTCCTACCAGCAGAGGAAGGGATTCCTTTTCTTTTAGAATATTTTATAATCAGCATATTTAGTGGTTTGAAAGTGAGTGTGCATTTTGTTGCCAAGCTATCTAAGGCACAGATTATGAAAGGTTAAAAAGATCCACATCAATCAGTATGCCTTGCTTTGCCAGGACTGAGGGAGTATCTGGTCCTCTGCGCCTCATGGCACAGTGGTTAAACTGCTGTCTTGCAGCCAAAACTGTGCTCACAACCCAGGGTTCAGTCCCAGGTAGCCAGCTCAAGGTTGACTCAGCCTTCCATCCTTCCGAGGTCGGTAAAATGAGTACCCACCTTGCTTGGGGGGGGGCAATGTGTAGCCTGCATAATTAACTTGTAAACCGCCCAGAGAGTGCTTGAAGCGCTATGGGGCGGTATATAAGCAGCATGCTTTGCTTTGCTTTTTGAGGCCAACACAATAAAGGAAAAAATAAGAGCAAACCCATTCTTCCTTTATTGGGACCAACTGAATGTCAGTTAATGATCAAATTCATTATAATTCTTAATTTGGGGCAACTCACCAATCCTTTCTAAGTCCCTTATTTTTCTTTTACATATTCTACTTTGTGTGTAGTTCATTGTTCAGCCTATGTGGACCTGAGTGATAAAATAAAATACTGTAGTTTAAATTAATACTAGCAGAAAAGGTCAGTCCAAGTCATGTAATAGACTAATAGCATAGGAGAAATACTAGACTGACAACTTGATTCAATGATTTAAATGGTATCCCCCCCCAATAATCATTCATAACACATCAATAACTTTGAACTCAGAACACTTTAGCTGAAAACCAAAAAGTCATAACTAGGGTGGGTCAATTGAATCGTTGGGGAATTGGTGAGTCAACATTTATATAAGTTCCATTCATTCAGTGGGCCTACTTCAAATTATTATTTGCAGTTCATAGTTTCAATTTACCATCGAATTTCAGCCTTTCTTTCCTGATGTGGAGAGCAAATGGTGCCCCATACACACTTCTGGTGTAGAGGAACACTTTTTAAAGTCTTCTGTGTGATTCATATACAAATGTCTGTCTGTACATCAGTGGCATAGCATGAAACAAGTTTCTTAAACCTGCTGCAGATCAGGACTGGTCCTTTTTGTATGTAAGAGTGAGGCTTACTTTATCATAGTACAGTAAGTTGCAAGTAGAGCAGGCCTATCTGAATTGATGGAACTCATGGAGAAAGTTGACTCATCAAAGCCCTGCTGATTCAGTGGGACTACTCTAGAGCAACTTATACTAAGCAACAGAATTTCTGATGTGGAGTCTTGTAATTTGGTTGATTCCTTTAGTCAGCAGATTATAAAGTACAAAAATCCAGTTTATAGTTCATGGAAAATGTGAAGAGACAACCCCAGCTTCACCTAGCCCCTTTGTAAGAAATTATACTACAGCTAGCTTAAAGTAGGAAAATTGTCTTTACTCGCAGTTGGCAGTCTTCATATTTTCAAATGTTAAAGAAAAAAAGAAGAAGTAAAAAAAGAAACGGTCCACGATATTGGCCACATGCTCAATAGGGAAGGAGCCTCTCAGTGATGGTCAGGGAAGAAGAAAAGAGGTAAACACGCCTCCAGAAGCAGGAATGAGCAGAAAGTGGGGAAGGGCAAACCTGAAGCCTAGGAAAAAAATGAGCTTTGCTGATTGGTTATTAGGAAAAGACAGTCATGTTAGCTTCTGAATGCTCTTTTCTCCCACAAAACTGGTGTTAAGTTGCATGCAAGACTGATAAATTATCCCAACAAGTTCAGCCAATGTATCATAACAAACCTGTGACTTAAAATGCTTCTGCTTTCCCCTGTGGCATTTTTAAGGCTCAGGTATATTTCTAATTAAGTGAGCTTCCCATTCTTTTCAGAAATGACCATATTGCTACTATATTGGATCAAAAGAATTATGTTGAAGAACTAAACAGGCAGCTGAAGTAAGTATATATAGAAGCACCTGTATTTAAAAAAGTATTATTTGGAGAATAAGCTATTTTGTATAAGCATTGGAATTTCTGGGTGCTGCTTAGACTAATGGTTATATAGTGGGAGAATTTGGAGTGGGTTGGACTTTTAGAGATGGCAATCTTTCTGGAAATTTATCTATGATAAATTCTATTCTTTTAAAAATGGATAAGCCAAGATGTGTGTGTTGGTGGGGGTCTGATTAAATTCAAGTCAGCATCATAAACAAAACTGTTATATATTGCCTGAGAATTAATACTGTCATGTTTATTGTACTTTATAAAGAAGAATAAGGTTGCAATCCAAATGTATTTATTAGGTCACTACAAATTATGTTTTTGGGAAATGTTTATATTATACTGGTGTATCCTATGAGGAATATGTAATGTGTGGAAGTAAAATATGTGCATGTATACTTATTTTGGCCCTCATCTCCATTTTCTGTATACAGAAATGGTACAGATACATAGCTGTTTAAAGATGCTGCTCATGCATATTTTACTTTCATACTTTATATTAAGGTAAGCAACTGTGAAAGTCCAGATATTTTTGGCCTTCAGAACCTAGCAGTCCAAAACAGTTTAAGCATTGATGAATTATGGGACTAGTTGAAAATATCAGGATTGTTGTTCCCCATCCCTGCTTTGTATCTTTATTGTGGAAAACACCAGTTTAGCACTGGTATTTTCTGCAAAGATTGAAATATGTATTACCATGACCCCATTTAAGGGATTTATTTCTGAATAAATGCACTTAAGAATGGCATGCTAAAGAAAAGTGTACTTAATAGTGGGTTAATTGCATTACTGTTAACATCTAGAACTTCTTTTTAGGGCTTATTGATAAGTTTTGAGAAAATGCATCTGCCACCATCTCAGGGAAGTGATGTTGAGTGTGTAAACAATTGACTGCATTAAGAGACAACAGATTTTTATTAATGTTTCTTAAAAATTAGCTGCAAAAGTTGGATATTATGACTCATTTCTTCCCCAGCGGTGGTGGTGAGGAAGAAGACAGGCAGTGACAAAATGTTTTTTTAAATGATAACTTTAGCAGTTGAAGGAGGAAAAGAAAAAAAAACTGTAAAGAAAAAAGTGATGCAAATGTATTTTTGTGAGAGGTGTGGTGATTTCCAGCTCCATTTTTCAGTGGGCCCTGAGAAGATACTAGAATGTTTTGTGAATAGGATATTAGTTGCACATGCAGCATATGGGATGTAATTTTGAACAAAGCTCTCTTTATCGTTTTCAGTAGCACAGTCAGCAGCCTCCATACACGCGTTGATTCTCTAGAGAAGTCAAACACTAAACTAATTGAAGAGGTACTGCTTTTTCTTAGCAATATGTAATTTTATGTTGAAATTAGTAGTGTTTGAGACCTTTTTTTTAATACAATAGGACCTCCATATCCACTGGGGATAGTTTCCAAGCCCCGTAGATACTGAAAACCACAGATAATAGTGAACACTATACAGTGGTGCCTCGCTTAACGAGCGCACCGTATAATGACAAAATCGCATAGCGATGCAGTTTCCGCGATCGCTAATGCGATCGCTTACCGATGGCCCCAATGGGCGAAACTCGCATAGCGAAGGTCGGTAAGCGTTTCGCTTACTGACCTTCGCTTTGCGACCCACGGATCAGCTGTTCAGTGGGTCCAAAATGGCCGCCAGAACAGCCGAAATGCCTGGGGATAGTTTCCAAGCCCCATAGATACTGACACTATACATATATAGATAGAACATGGTAAAAGGAAGAAAAACAAGAAATCTTTCTTGCTGACCACTAGAGGGCACTGACTATGATATGCATTATTCACTAACAAGTATTCCTAGCATGGTCTCTGGCTCCCTCTAGTGGCTGGTTCTGGTTATACTTGTGAAAATAACTTTCTTTTAATATTTTTAATATTTACAGACTGTGGATAAGTAAATCAGTGGATACTGATCCCATGGATAAGGGGTGTGTCCTATTGCAATCTTATACTTGTGGAGGTACTAGGCTGCACATCACCTGGAATAGTACTCTTGTGAAGGAGAGGTGCCTTACAGCAGGAGGGCAGCACTATAACTGCTCCCTAGAGTACTTCCCTTTTCATATAATGCTCAGGAGCATTCAAGAAAATTTTCACTGCTATCAGTGTTTACATGTTGTCCTTTCCCCATCTTGATGTAGTAATAGCTGCTGGTATTCCAGGCATATCTGCTGCTGTGGTGCATCCCTACAGCCCCTGCCATGGGGCACCCCTACTTGACTCTCGTGAAGGAGAGGTACCTTACAGCAGGAGGGCAGCCCTATAACTGCTCCCTAGAGTACTTCCCTTTTAAGGGAATCTGACATCTATTGACTAGAAAGTGTAGTTCAGGCTTCAAACATACGTATGCATTTAAATTGATTAACAATAATATATTTTCAAAAACCAAATATCCCACACCCTATTTTATTAACCAAACTAGTACACATGGCATTTTGTCTGTAGTGCATTGTAGATTCTAGAGCATCTGGTGAGCATGATGTTGTGCTAAAGTGGTGCTTTCCCTATTCTCTTTGTTAAGCTACATAGGATCCCAGTCCAGTGAACTAAGTATATAGCTTATGCCAAATTGTAGCCCTTGTATTATATACGCCAGATTTTGAAATCATATATGAAGCTCCATCAATGTGCATACATCTCTGATAACATATTTTAGCAATTGCCAGCTTTTTTTCAGTAATCCTGAAAAGCCCCTTTAAATTACTCAGCAGCAGTACTTGATAGCTCTTGCTCTGTTTTGAATGCCTGGTGTTGCTTTATGTGGAACCTCATTGCTAAACTGATGAAATGCAGGGGATAGACTGTTGAACTTTGACCTAGGTTGAAATCCTTACTCAAGCATGAAACATAGTGAATGACGTGAGGCAATTTGTCATGGGGATGTTGTCAAAACAAGGTATTAGGACTGGAAAATGATGTTGATTGGAGAACTAAAGAATAAAAATGAAGTAATACTTCCATACTTGTATGTATGAAATTACTCATTTCAATGTTAACATACTTTAGTTTTCACCATGTACTAACTAGTAAATGGAAGGAGTAAGCAGTTTTTATATAAAAAACATAAAATGCTTACTCCTTCCATGAGTAATTTTATATATGAAAAAAGAAGACCAGTACAGAACTTAAGCAAATATTTTCATACAAGTTTTCATATACAGTATATATGAAAAAAGGAGACCAGTACAGAACTTAAGCAAATATTTTTTCTGACAATTCAAAATTTTGTTTTTGTTTAGTTAGCAATAGCAAAAAACAACATCATTAAACTTCAAGAAGAAAACCATCATTTAAGGAGTGAAAACACACTCATTTTAATGAAAACACAACATCATCTGGAGGTATGGCCGTTCAATTTGTTGTATAATCAATACTGTTGTATGTATAATCAATACCAATAACTGTTTATAATCAATACCACTAGTGATTCAATTTGTTGTATAATCAATACTGTTGGATACTAATAACTGTTTATAATCAATACCACTAGTGTTGGTAATCAAAAAGCCAAATAATCTGTGAATTCGCAGTTTGTATGCCAACTTTTTAAATTGTTCATTGTTTTGTATAAGTATTATGTAAAGTTTAGTCCTGGTCTGCAGCTCTAAAAATTCAACATTAAACCATTAAAAAAAAGACTGTATTTTATTCAGCAAGTTATTGCATGCCTGTAAAAGGGATTGGTTCATAGAAATTCCCCTGTTGGGCAGTACGTATATTATGATTAAAATCGAAATGTCACAAAATAGTGTTCAGATTTTGTTGAGTTCTCAAGAACTCTTTATTAAGTGGAATGTGATAAGTAGAAGATGGACTACAGTTAGAGTAGAAAGAGCCATAAGATCTCCATTTAGCATAGCATCTAGATGATGATTGCAGATGGAATGAGTTAGTCTGTCATGTCTCCATAGGAGAGATTCTCCTCAGACGAGAATCCAAAATCTCCAGGGCTGGTGTTGAGAAGCAGTTTTGCAGCAACCAGCAATGTCTCCAGAAAAAGCAATGAGCCCAGGGCTGAAGTCAGAGGTAGAGATAGGATCTCATCCCAGTTTTAATAAATGTTGCTGAATAAAGTCACAAGTGAAGCTAGAGGGAATGTGACGTAGTGCCCAACTGCAAGAGCAAATTCATGATTGAAATTGAGAGAGAAGCCTTACTCCTATGGAGACCTTCTGCTAGAAAACCTGTAGTTGGGTGTGGTACAGGCTAGCTCACTTACAAAAGACTCACTTGTAGTCTGGACAAACTGATAGGAGCTTTGTCTGTGTTTACATGGAATATTAATGGCCAAAGTCTTGCTTCCTCAATCTTTGGCTGCTATTTCACCCTCTGGGGTCCTGCTCGGTTTCTTATTATGTATTATGCTCCTTCCTTATCAGATTCTTGTTTCTGGCTTACTAACTCAGATTGTGTGACCTTGACTTTGAAACTCCCTGACTGAAGTTAACTGCCTGCCTGATAAAACCTGGCTTTGAACACTGACTGTATCAGTTGTTTGTTCACTCTGGGTCTGAGGAAGGGAAGGCAGAATGGTGTGTCTCTTGCTTTGGGCCAAGCACCAGACAGACTTCTCTTCTGGGTCTCACCTGACTAGTAGCATGACATAGGTACTGCTAGGTCCTGCACTACATGTAGTGTAACATATAGGATTTCATATGAAGAAAGACTCTCATGTTTAAATACGTTAGACCCAGTTGTTATCCAGATCTGCCTCTACTTAGGGATGGAGGAAACCTGGAATAATTGTATCTGCCTATCTAGGGACAGGACCCACTCTTTGAGCATCAGTGATTTAAGTTCAAGAAAGTTCTTCATTTTCTTCGTAGGTGAACAAAGTGGATGCTGATGCAGAACTTCAGACATATAAACACTCCAGACAAAGTCTGGATGAAATGTACAATGATGCACATAGACAACTTCGAGAAGAATCACAATTAAGACAAGTGAGTGCATATTATATATATTATAGAGCCTATCTGATTAGTTACTTCAGTGTATTTGTTGCTTCTTTCTAGAGTTACACTGTGAGGCAGAAGTATATATGTTATCTATCTGGTTTCACACTATTTTTCCAGTCTAATGGCTTAATATCTGGGGATTTCTTTATTGTTATTTTGTAGGATATAGAAAATGAACTAATGGTTCAAGTTGGTATGAAGCATGAGATAGAACTTGCCATGAAGCTGTTGGAGAAAGATATACATGAAAAGCAAGATACACTTATAAGTCTACGGCAACAGCTGGAAGAGGTCAAAGCAATTAATATAGAAATGTACCAAAAGCTGCAGGTAAAAATGACACTTCATTATTTGTATCTTCAAAGCTAAACACAGTATTTATGTGGTGCTAGGTCTGGCAAGGGGCTTGTTTATTTTTTTCTTCCCTTGTTGCATGTCTTACTGCCCTTCTAAGAACTGTATCTTTGAGTGCCAATCGAGGGCAGCGGTCTTTACAGTCTACTCTCTGCATGGGAGCAGTCATACCAGCAGGATGTGGACACTTTGTCCCTTGTGGCCAGGAAGTGGGGCCAATTTAGTGGCCTTATGAAGAGAAGAAGCTCCCATTATCCCTGATTGCTCTTCCCTTGAATACAGAAATTGAGGCAATATACTGAATATGCGACCTCATCTTTAGCTTCCAAGACATCCAGTTTTTTTGTTCAGCACTCCTCTGGAAGATTGGCATGTTGATATATTTACCAACACAGAAATGAGAGAGCAGGTTCCTATTATGTTGGTACAACTACCGTTCATGGATGTAGCAATGACACAGTGGTAAGAATTACTTTGGAGAGCTTACTGTTCAGAGTTGTATGAGGGAGATGAGGAAGAGTCACCAGTGTGGTGTAGTGGGTACACATTTGGAGTAGGATTTGGAAGATTCAGAAACTCCCTGGGGGTGCATGAACAAATCACTCTCTTTCATCCATTTTTTCTCCCACAGAGGAGTTGTGAGGCTGAAATGAAAAAGCAAGATAGGAATGCAACTAATAATTATTAAACAAACAGGCAGACAAACAAACACATAATGAACAGAGGCTGTTGGCATCATTATTAGTTAATTAATATTATTGTTATACTGTTCTAATATAATATAGTTCTCCCTTTGATGATAGGTTTCAGATGAAGCCATGAAAGAAAAGAATGAAATTATTGGTCGACTGGAAGATAAAACAAGTCAGATTAATACAACTATGAAGCAGTTGGAACAAAGGTACAGCATCTTGTTTTATTTTGGTTTTCTTCTCATTCATGTCTTTCTTTTTTCTTTCACTTGCCAGATAGGTTGCATTTGTAAGTAGCACTACAGAAGCAGCAGAATGATCACAAGCAAAATTATGTGTCCCCCCCTCCCTTCCCATATTTCTGGGAAGTAGACCTTGGCAGCATTTAGTTTTATTCTCACAGAATTTCGGCCTTTCTTCTGTACATACCAGGAATTTAGACTGACTACAAACACTGGTTAAACAAACCTGCTTCATAACTGATGGTTTCAAGATGAAATATACTGGGATATGACACCTTCCTTTATCAGCCATTTTTCCTCCCATTTCATGGCTGCTTTACAGCTTAGCAAAAATATAAGAGGGGTTCATCATAGATTTTCTTATCTAGTTTGGTTCTTGGTGTGTAGCATTTCTTAGGACTCTTCAGTAACCCAGGTCTTCACCTCTAGAATTCCTCAGATATATTCTTCCATTAAAAGCTTAAAGGCATAGGCTAGCATATCAGGGAGCCTCATAAGTAGCACCTTCGTCTTAACAGGTTTTTGTAAAAATATATGTTTTGTGTAACTTCAACAGCACTTCCTCCTCTCCATGGAGTACTCTGTCCTTGAAACTAAGGAGAATTTCAAAAACAGTGTGTGGTGTTGTGATTTTATTCCATTAAGAGATATAAAATGCTTTCCATATCGTACATAAGGTCTCGGTGTTTCTAAAACAATGGACTTGAGACTGATTACTGACAAATAATGGCTGAAATCCTGTTCACCAAGCTTTACTGTGAAAGTCTGATGATGGCATCAGCTGCAGTTATTTATTTGGAAATGAAACAGTTCTTATCACTCTCTCCCCCCGCCCCCAGGTCCTGAGGATCCCGTGGAATCCTTTTCATCATGGAGAAGCTGCTGTGGGCTTCAAGAATTGTGTCTGGGATCTTTAATTTCTAAACATTGCCGCCAGTGGAATGATTTTACTGGCTGTGATATTTGGAAATGAAAGATTGCTCTCCCCTGTTCTGTGTCTCCCACAGCTTCCCCACAATAAAAGTGTTCCATGGAAGCCTTGAGACTTTTACAGGAATCAGAAGTGTTTTATTTCCAGAAAATTGTCACAGCTAATGACATCATCAGTCTTATACAGCATGAACAGGATTTTAGGTGTATTTCATATTTTATGTAGTACACTTATTGTGTAACACTCATGGAAATAACACTGTACATGTGACATTAATTTCCTGAACTGTTAAAAAAAAGAACATTCATCGTGTGGCTGTTGACATGTCTTGCCATTGTTTTTGTTTTCAATTCAGTCTGCTTAAAATAAACAAAACAAAAACATAATTATATGTATTGAAGTGTTAGTGGCATGAATATTCTTTTATTGACATCCTTTTTCCTCTTTTTCTTTTTCTTTTCTCCTTTATCCCAACTTCTACATTTTTGGATGTTTTTTATTGCCTTCATTTGTCTTTGATTTGTGTCCATTGCATATATGAAGTGATAAAGAATTGTTAACGCAAACGAGGACGATTGCCATGTCCTTGGTGAAATGTGCCAGTAGTGAAGGGCAACAACAGTACAAGCTTGTCAAAGATATATCATTTTGAAAACTACTTTATGCCTCTTACAGTATATTATGGAGGGAACATTTGTAGGAATTATTTTTCAAAAACTAGCTTTTAAGCCACAATGCTTGGATGTCAGCTTTTGTCCCTGTGTTCTGGCTTAAGTGGGTTGTGAACCAGACTGTAAATGTAGTAAAACCGTCTTGGCATTTTAATTTGTAAATATCTCTATAACTTTGTTTTGCAGACATGACATTAAACCTTGGAAATATTAACATATTGGCTGGTATTCAGGGACGGCATTGTGCTAAAGGCAAAGTGGTTGCATGTGTGCAGAGAGCACAAGGGTGATAGCCAGTACTGGTTTTGTGGCACAAAAGGTGATGCAGCCTTTGCAGTGTAGGGTGACCGAGCTTTCTGGGATTTTCACTGTGCTAGCGTTTTGTTGGATTTAGGCTATTGTTCACCAATTTTTAAAAACAGTATAGTGCTACTATTTTTGAAATGTTAAATCTGTATTTATTACAAATTCAGCTAGCATGATTTTTATTATGGTTGATGATATTTGTGGGTAAGAAGCAGAATGTTTCAGGTAACTAAGTGGTGAGATGTATTGGAAAGCCAGAGTAATAGCTTTTTCATAACACAGGATCTTTTTTATTTTAAAGATCTAAAGTATGTCCTTTTTTAATATTCTTTTTGAATGTACAACAGTAATACTTGGCAAACAAAACATATATCCAGCTTTTCTGCTTAAGAAACAGAGACTGACATTTGAAATCTGTCTCACCTTGAGCTGAACATGCAAGGAAACCTAAATTAAAATGGGTGGCCATGATGTGCCCAAGAAGGTCTTTATGCAGTGAAAGAGCATCTGCTTCCCATACTAGACAAGGAAAGAGGAGCTTACAGCAATCAAATTGTTCATATTTTCCTATCACTTTACTGTTCATGGAATATAATAGAATTATTTAGTTGTATTCTGATGCAAGCCTTGAAAAGTTACATGTTTCTTCTTTGTGGTCTCTGTGAATGCACACGGATGGGTTAAACTGCGCCTGCACAGGACTCTTTGGAATAGAGCTTAAATAACTGACCAATAGAACGTTTCCCATGGTGTGCATGCCCCGCCTGCCTGTGGTACCTCAGTTCCTTTTTGCTGCTGCTGAAATCGGACTCCTTCGCAACGCCTCAAGCTGTTTTCAATTCGTTTAAATTTTCTGGTTTTGATCTCGGCCTGTTTTCTTGACTACGGTTTTTCTTATCTGGAGTATTTCGACTTGGACTGACCTGATTTTGGATTCTCGCATTTTGAATTGGCTGCCGTTATTGTGTCTTTTTTTTTGCTTTTGGACTGGTTACCATTTGTGATTTGGATTACGGAATTGGACTTGATACTTGGATCTTTATCTTCTTGGCTTGACTCCTTGTTTTTTGATCCTGGACTACTATTGTTAACGTTTCCTGTGAGTCTTTTTCCTTTCCACCATATTTCCTTGTTCCTGCCAAATTTTATGGCCTCTTCAGGCCTGTTCAAACGCTGTACATCGTATGCTAACAAGATTCCTTTTATGGATGGCCACAACCACTGTTTTTTCTGTTTGGGGGAAAGATACCAGCCCAATTCTTGCCAAGAGTGTAAAAAGTTAACCAAGACCACCCTGAAGCTCCACTTACAGCGACTCTGTATCTTTGGGAGAAGTCGTTAACACCATCGAGCTTGACATCCATGGAAACTACCATGCCTCCTGCTCCTCCCGCTCCTCATCCTGATCCTGCTGCCTCGCCAGTGCCTGCTTCCCCTTCTTCGAGAGCTTCTTTGAAGGTGTCCAAGTCGAAGAAGTCTTCGACATTGGGGTCGGCATTGACATTGAAGTCACCATCTGTTATAGATCACAAGAAAAGAGGGACGTAGTTAAAAATAAAAAAGGCCAAACAGCCTTCTCAGTCTTTTCAACTGAAGGAACTTCCTCCAGTTCAAGTCACCCTGCCCTCGCCAATACTCGAGGAATCTTTCAGGGAGCTTCATGATCCCGAATTGCTTTCTGAAGGGGATGGCTTTGTACTGCAGCCACAGACACAGGCTTCGGTATCGATTCCAAGCCTGTCTCCAAGTCATGGGTATTCTGATGTAATCTCCAGCCCGGCCTCGGCCCATTCTAGCCCTATGTCAATTGGGTGGGCAACAGTGATTCAGCTGTCAAACTTCGAGGTGTCACCACAACAATCCTCTCTGCATAAGCGTCTGGTAACACATCGGCATGTTTCTCCATGCCGACAACTCCCTCAGCATCAGGAGGTTATAGTTCTTCTGCGTCCATCTTGGCAGCATGCTTTCACTGACTATGAAGAGCCACTTTATGTGGAAATTGATCGGCGTGGCGGTCGACGTCGGTATCATGGGGACGATCTTGATCCCTTTTACGACACCGATGATTATGTCAGGCCCAAGAGGGTACGATATGTCTATGCTTTCCCGTCTGGTTCATCTCCATCGCCTTCACCGCCTCGACGTCGGCATCAAGCTTATCTCCAACTTGACCCTATGGACTCAGTCTGTTAATAAATGCCATTTACCACAGCAGGATCCGAAATCATCACGTCCTGCTCCATCGTTCTCGGGCTCCATTGATACAGTCACCCTTGGTATCCCATCCGAAAGCATCTCACGTTCAGTGATCTCACCCGGCTGCATCTTCTAGAACTGCTTATCCACCTGGCATTGAGACCTCTGCACCGATTTCCTGAGCCCCAGCCTCCATATCGAGATCTCATCCTCGTTCACCTTCACTGCCTCTGTCTCTTAGTAAAAGATCCAGAGTTTCTTTGGTCTCTGAGCAGGACTCCTCTTCGGAGACTTCTGGGGAATCCCCCTCAAATTTACCTACACCGGATTTGGATGTCGCTGATATCCATCCCCCATCTCTCTCTGAAGACTTTATGTCATATTCTCAGTTAATTCTACTCATGGCCAAATCACTGGAACGTGATATAGACCAACCTCCTCCTCCCAAGCAGGACCTTGTTTTTTATTATATAAACCAAGAAAAATCTCCACCTTTGAGTTTGGCTTTTATTTCAGCTATGTTGGACCTAATTAAAGACTCGTGGAATCAACCATCTACATTTCTTCAGATCTCTAGACGTGTTGAAAACTATTACAGGACACATGACAACGACACAACCTTCCTCAATAAACATCCTGCACCGAATTCCATTATAGTGCAGTCTAGTTCATCAAGGATGGAAAATCGTTCTAAGGTCTACCAATAGAGAAGGCCGCAAACTAGATGTACTGGGCCGTCGCCTATACTCTCTGGCTTCATTTGTGATGAGAGTTTCTAACTACCAGGCAGCTATCGGTGCCTGTCAGAGGCAATTGTGGAATACGTTTTTGCCAGTTCTTCAAGCTGTTCCTGAAGAAACTAGGACGGCTGCTCTCAACGTTCACCTGGAAGCGACGACACTAGCTGAACAACGTTTGGCATCATGTCTTACAGCGGATGCAGCGTCGAAGGCAATAACATTGGCCATTGCTCTCAGGAGGCACGCTTGGCTGCATTCAGCAGGCATCAATGATGATGCTAGGTCCCATATTGAAGAGCTTCTGTTTGATGGCATTGGACTATTTAACGAGAAAACGGATGAGGTGATGGACAATTTACATAAGATCTGTAAGACAGCTTGCTCTTATTATGTCCAGCAACCCAGATACCAACGTTATCAGTGGCGCAAACCTTTCATCTCACAACAACCTTATCACCAAGAGTATCGCCCGTACAAACTTCCTGCTCAAGAAATATTGAATCCTGTTGCATCTTCCTCTGCTACCACCTCTTTCTGAGCACAGGCTTCTGGTCAGCGTCAACAAACTTTCCATTGCCCTGCCAAGAAGAATAAACAATATCTTTGACTGTTTCTGCTGAACCCGTCTATTGATCTATCCCACCTTCCCCGGCTAGCCCCCTTCTTCAACAAGTGGTCTATCATCACCAAAGATTCTTGGGTGCTCACCATCATACGTTTTGGTTACCTGTTAGAGTTCTCAGATCTTCCTCCTCTTGGTCGCCTCAAGATCACGGCTTACTCACCTGCTCTAGAAAAAGAAATCTCTGTTCTTATCCAGAAGCATGCTATTCAACACGCTTCTTCTCAAGTAACACTGGACGGCTTCTATTCCTGATATTTTACAGTTCCCAAAAAGGATGGCAGATTGCAATCAATCTTAGATCTCAGGTTTCTCAATACTTACCTTCGTCCAAGGTGTTTCCAAATGGTCACCTTAGAATCAATCTTCTGCTTCTTTCTCCAGGCAATTGGTTTGTGGTTACAGGACACTTACTTTCATATTTTTATCCATGAGCGTCATTGCAAATATCTCCAATTCGTCTTCATGGAGTTTGTGTACCAGTTTTGCGCCCTTCTGTTCAGGCTTGCCATCACCCCAAGTACCTTCAAAAAGTGTCTAGCTCCAATAGCAGCCTACCTGCGTCTGAACAATATAATGCTCTTTCTATATATAGACGACTGGTTGTTCGTCACTGGCTCTTACGCCAAGGCACAAGAGGACACAGGTTTTACTTTACAAACTCTGACAGATCTAGGCCTTCAGGTCAACTTTGTGAAGTCCCATCTTCAACCATCTCAGATCATGGACTACATTGGCATGGTTCTGGACTCCAACAGAGCTAGGGTCTTCCTCCCTCCCTTCTGAGAGGATTTACAAATTGAATCGTGCTATTTGTCCGTTCCGCCAATACGCCTGAGTTTCGGCTCATCACACGTAACATATTTTAGGCCTTATGGCTTCCACCACGTCTGCTCTTCCTCATGCTCGATTGAAGATGCACTCCCTGCAGGTGTGGTACCTGTCTCAATTCAATCTGTTATTAGGCAACCCTGCCAAACGTCTGTGTGACTCCAGAATTATCATGTCAACTGACGTGGTGGACTTTCATGCCGCATCTTCTAATTGGTCAACCCTTCAGGCCCCTTCAACTGACAATACAGATCATGATAGACGCCAGCACAACAGGTTAGGGTGCGCATTGTGGCACTCACAAGATCCATGCCCTGTGGTCCAGCTCAGAGAAACTGCTACATATCAATCTTCTAGAACTGTTGGCAGTAATCAAGGTTCTTTGCACTTTCTATCCTCTAGTGGTAGGTTGCGGAGTGCAAGTGGCTATGGACAACATGACCATTCTGTATTATATAAACAAACAGGGAAGCAGTCACTCTTTGTCCCTTCTCTATTTAGCGATCCACTTGTGGGAGTGTGCTACGATCATGACATATTTCCGATTGCCATTCATGAGTTGACAGAAGACAATGATGTGGCTGATTGCCTGAGCCGCCTGACCATTCAAATGCATGAATGGGTTCTCGACGACTCTGTGTTTGCAGTAGGTAGGGCACACCGGCCATAAACGTCTTTGTGACTCAGTTCAACGCAAAGTGCAAAAAGTTTTGCTCTCGAGTAGGGGGAGGCAACGGTTCTTAGGGTGATGCCTTCATGGTGACATGGGATGCTGTCCTTTTCTATCTTTTCCCTCCTATCCCTCTTATTCAACGGACACTTGTCAGGATCTGCCAGTTGTGAGCTGATGCCATCCTGGTAGCTCCATGGTGGCCTTGTCAACCATGGTTTACCACCCTCAAGACCATCGTGTCCAATTTCCTGAGATTGCCTCCCCAGCCATTCCACTCAGGACGGAGGCAAGGCCTGTCACCCCAACATCGAGTTGCTCCATCTCACAGTGCGGAGGATTCTCCCAATATAAAGGAAGTGTTGGACAGAACTAGAAAGCCTTCGACCAAATTGCTGGATTCTTATAAGTGGCCTGTTTTTACAAAGTTTGCTGAGTTCAGAGGTTTTGTGACTGTTCCAGCTTCCTTAGGTACTCTTCTTGCCTTCCTACGTTATTTGTTTGATCTGGGACTGGTACATTCTACACTTAAAGTTTATATTGTTTCTTACCAGCCTGTGGTTTCAGACGTTTCCCACTTATTCTCACACCCGACTGTGAACTGGCACATTCTACACTTAAAGTTTATATTTCAGCCATTGTTTCTTACCAGCCTGTGGTTTCAGACGTTTCCCACTTATTCTCACACCCGACTGTGAAGAGATTCCTTCAAGTTTTGAATAACATTTGTCCACCTGTATGGCCTCCAATCCCTCAATAGTCTCTTCAGACTGTTTTGAGGGTTCTTACATGCTCACCATTCGAACCTGTACCTTCTACTCCTCTAAAACTTATTTCTCTAAAGACTTTGTTTCTGGTGGCTATTACGTCTGCGCCGAGGGCAAGTGAGTTGGCTGCACTGAAGGCTAATGCACCTTATATACACTTTCACCCCAATAAGGTTGTCTTTTATCCTGATGTCTCATTCCTCCCTAAGGTGATTTCGACTTTTCCTGTTAATCAGCCTTTGATCCTCCCAAAGTTGTTTCCTAATCCTTCTTCCGATGTTGCGTGCATGCTCCATTCCCTTGATGTTCGTTGGGCTTTGGCCTTTTATGTTTGTAGAACTAAGGACTTCTGCAAATCTCCCTGTTTCTTTGCTTCCACGGTCCTTGGAAAGGTCATCCGGTCTCTTCTCAGACAGTTTCCAGATGGATAGTTTCTGCCATTGCTTTAGCCTATGAGCTGGTTGGCAAGGCTCCACCAGATGTATTGAAGGCACATTCCACTAGAGCTGTGGCTATCTCTACTGCCTGGCTACGTGGCATTGAAATTTCTGACATTTTCTGATCAGCTACTTGGTCTATACCATCAACCTTTGTTTCACATTACGGGCTGGATGTCAGAGCCAAAAAGGAAGCAAGTTTTGGAAGGGCTGTGCTGACTTCAGTTTTACCCTGACGTCCCTCCTTCCAGTAAGTGAGCTTGCTAGTCACCCATTCGTGTGCATTCACAGAGACCACGAAGAAGAGAGGTTACTTACCTGTCACCATGGTTCTTCGAGTGGTACTCTATGAATCCTCACATCCCGCTCAACCTAGCCGCTGTCCGTCACAGGTTGTCTACAGCTTTCTAATTATCACAGCTGTGACAGTGGCGGACGTTTGGAACTGAGGTACCATGGGCGGGCAGGTCATGCGCACCACAGAGAAACGTTCTATTGGTCCGTTATTTGAGCTCTAGAATATTCTGAAGGATCCTGCGCATGCGCAGTTTAACCCATTTGTGTGGATTCACAGAGTACCACTCGAAGAACCATGGTTGCAGGTAAGTAACCTCTCTTTTTTTAGACAGTTGTTCCCAAATCTCCTATGTAGCATGGCCAGATTTCATGCTTATTGAAGGCAGTTGTAGTCCAAAAGTAACTTTTTGAATGGTGTTGTGGTCTGCTGTATGAACAAACTTCCTCTTTCCTTTTCTTTTTCTCTTTTTTGGAATGGGGCTTTCCCCATACACAAAGTTGTATGGGTGTGCATCTGCCTCTATCATTGAAATGAGAGGGGGCAATCTCAACAGGAATGGGAGCCTGGAGACTATGTTAGTGTTCCTGCACCCTCCATCTGGTCCCCGGCCCAAAATACGTTTTACTAGAATGACTTTAACTGACTTGTATGTTTTCATTTCTGCCAGGCACACTGTGGTAGATAAACAGTTAAATTCCTTGGCATAGGTTGTGTTGATTTAATGCAGCACTATTCCTGCTGCCCTGATTGCACTGTTCCACTTTTGTGTTCCCACTTCGGTCCATTCAGCACACATCTTCTTCCATTTTGTCATGTTGATCGATTTGTGTAGTTAGGGTATATTGTTAGCCCCAGGGCTCTGGGGTTTTGTTTTTCAGAAATAAACTGTAGCCACAGCAACACAGGAATACACAGGGAAAGCTCTTTATGTGGGAATTCTAAAGTCTGTATAGCACTGCATTGATGGCATCTGTTAATCACAAACACCAAATAAAGAAATAGAGAAATGTATGGATGTTTTTGTTGTTCTAGTGTGGAAAAAATAATTTGGACTTCTAGGCATTGTCTGGGTCTCTCATTTGAGTTTGTGAGTTTACCCCAAACTTTGTTTTCATTTAGAAATGTTTCTATTTCCCCATTTTTTTCTTTTATTTGTCTTCTTCACCCTTTACACCCAATTCTAGCTTCAGTTTTACCCAAAGTTGATTTGAATTACACCAGATTGCAGCAAGCAGAGAAGGCTCAAATGGAGGCAGAGAGTGAAGACAAGAAATTTAGACAAGATTATATGAGTAAATCTGAAACTCTCCAGAAAGAAATTGTCCGAAAGGAGAAGCAAGTGTAAGTAAAATATGTTCTGGGGGAAACTAGAATACAGTGGTGCCCCACTTAACGATTACCTTGCTCCACGACGAATCCGCTTAATGATGAGTTTTCTGCGATCGCAAAATGATATTTAAATGGGGAAAATCCGCTTTACGACGATCGGTTCCCTGCTTCAGGAACCAATTCTTCACCTTATGATGGTTTTAAAATAGCTGATCGGCGGGGCGCAAAATGGCCGCCCACTGTGCAAAATGGCTCCCCGCTGTGTTTTAGGACTGATTGCTCGCTTTACAGGCACCAGACAATGGCCGCTCTATTGAGGATCTTTGCTGGACGGTGAGGTATTTTGCCCATTGGAACGCATTGAATGGTTTTCAGTGCATTTCAATGGGCTTTTTACTTTCGCTTGACGATGATTTTGTTCTACAGCGATTTTGCTGGAACGGATTATCGTCGTCAAGCGAGGCACCACTGTATACCCCAAATATTTTTGTTACACCTGTATTGTACAGTGTATTGTTACAGGGTGCTCTATGTATTGAACCATCATGGCACAAAATCCTGTTCCTTGTGCACTTTTTATTACAGAATCTGTGCAGAAGTGGAAGAGACATAGGTTGCAAAAAAGGGGTGAAAAATGTAATTAGGGGTCTGTGTAGGATATTGTGGTTCTAAAGCTGTGGCTTTTATGAGTAAAACTCTAGTTTGGAATACATCAGAAGGGCATCAGAATGCAGGCAGGTGCAGCAACACTTTCAGACTGGGAAACTGCTGTCTATTCTGGAGATGCCTTTCCCTATTTGCAGAGGGACTGTGAAGTTTGAAGTCCCAAATATCTTGAGAGCCAGGTGAGATTAAGTATGAGATGGACAGTTAGGGCTAAACTAAACAATGAGTGAAATAGTATTATATTCTAAGTAATGTAAAACATCTAGGTAAGAAATAGACCAGATTTACTACAATTAATGTGCATGAGGTGTTTATGCTATTGCATTATAAATCTAATACAAGGAAACTGTGATGAGATACTTGTGCATTTTTAACAGGATAATTAAAAAGTAATTAATTTAAAAATGCCTTTGTGGCTCAAGTGACTTTTTAATATTCTACTTTTCTAGGTGTCAGCTGGAAACAGATTTGAAAATAGAAAGAGAATGGCGGCAAACGATGGAAGAAGACCTCAGAAAGGAAAAAGAAATATCCTCTTCCTTGAAGACAGAGACCAAACAAATAGTTACTCTTAAAAAAGTAAATTCTACAGCAAAATGTATGGAGAAGGGGAGAGTAACGTGTGGACGTGAGCATTTCTTGGCAGTTCCTTCAGCTCTTTGGGGTAAAACAGGTGGCAGTTCTAGGGAGGATTTCCCTGGTGGTGGGACCCCATATATAGATTGCTCTGTCACTGCATTCTGCGTGTTTTCTAGTGAATTCCAGAATGTGTGTATTTGCGTGCTAGATGCAGCAGTCCCTTCACATCTTTTGGAAAAGATGTCATCACTCAAGGATTGTTTGAACTGGAATTTCATATTTGAAATACACATTTTGCTATTTCCAGTTAAAGCATCTGACCGTATAACATCACCACCACTAAGAAAATATAAAAATACCTCAATACTCAGACATGGCACCAGTCTTGTTGGTTTATTTGGTGACACTTCCTCTGGCTCTAAAGTCATCTTAAACTGTGTTTAACTATTTTAATTGTTTTTGTTAAATTATAAAATGTTTTATTGTGGCACCTCACTGTGATAGTTATCAGTGATTGTTTTCTTCCTATTCACTGAGGGAATATTTTCCAAGGTTAAAGCAGAAGGAGAGGAGGGTGGAAGGTGGCTACTCTGAAGGGGCTCTACTCCAGAGGCAGCAGCAAAGGTCAGCATTTTAAACAGAAAAAGAGGAAACTATCACTATTCACTGCCACAGTAACACCTCTAAACTATGAAAATTTTCTCCACCCTTGATGTTGATGAAATAATATTCCCAAAGTTGTTACTTGTGCATCTGTGAACAGAGTGATGGTTGTGAAGGTGTCCAGTTGAGCCACTCCTGTTATTTTTAGTTTAAGCTGTATGAGCTGCCCTAGAAATGTTTCATATTGAAATGTGTAGTAAATCTCTCTCCCTCCTGCCGTGTGTGTGTGTATAGCTGTAGGTAGGAGTGTGTGTGTGTGTGTGGTTTGTGGTATTCTGTAATTCTGCTCCTAGGAAATATAAGTTCTGTGTTTTCTCTTATCCATTTCTCTTATTCATGATGGTCAGAATCTGAACCTTTACATTTCTCCCTGTAGTCAGAAGCCAAAGCTGTTCCTGCATTATGACTTTGCCCATCTGGTCATGGAGCAGGAGGAAAAAAAATCATTGTATATGATTATACTACAGTGTAGGGATAAATAATATGAATTAACCTAACAGGAAGTGGCAGTTAACCTTACTGTTCTCAGACTGTTCTACAACTGTTCACCGCAAACCATTACAATAGGATAAACTGTTTAAATCTTGTAGGACTTTGCATCTGAAATTCATTTAATTAAGTTTATAATCCACTATATATGGAGAAAAGGGACGTGGTGGCACAGAGCCGC